TTGTGGTGTTCACATTTTTTTATTTTGTTTTCTCTGAATTTGTTCGATCGATAATTTGTTTAAATAAACTTTCAATACGATTTTTGTCATAGCGATCCTCTTTTATTTAAAATTGTTCAATAGAAATCTCGTTTCTTATTTGTTTTATTGAAATTTTAAAACAATGATGTTTTACTTGAAATGAGTTTTAAATTATGGAGTTTTATTTGAAGTTTAAAACTTAAATTAAATTTTAAATTGCTGAATATAAATGATATATTAATAACTATTCAATACTTAAACACTGTATATACAAAAATACAAACCATAGTAATAATGAAGTAATTAACACATTTTTTGTTAATATGTTTATAATAAATGTTATTATATTTGAATACAGATTATTCAATAAAGTTAATTATATCAAGCAAAAGCTTTTGTTCTTGTGTTTTTGAATGTTTATAATATGTTCACATCGAAGATTAATACGAGGCAAACAAAATTGATATTATGGTTAAATATTGATATATTAGCAACTTTAAATTATTATTCTGATATACACACATAAAATTGGTTAATAAACAATTAAAGATTACCAAAATAAAAACAATATAATACAATTAATTTATTGTTAATTGTTTTTTTTATTTTACAACAATTGCTATTCAAAAATTAGTAAGTAATATTAACTTTTAGTTGTTATTTTGTGTTAAATATAAAACCAACTCACTTTTGATTTTGTTTAATGTAATTATTAAATAACAAACATGGTGTTAGAATGAGTTGCAATATTTTATTTCAGTAATTTCATCAAGTCTGCCAAAACAACTAAACAATATATATTTAGCAAGTTAAGTTTGATTAGTCCAACAAACTAATAAATATAGTACATAGTAGTGTTTAAAAAATCAGAATTGAAATTTTCAAGAAAGACGTAAAATTCAGTACATGTTGCTTTTTCAAAAGAAGGTGTTTTAAGAAAAATAATAATATATATAAAGTCTTCTTTGCACTTCAAAATCATATGTTCTCTCTTCTTTTGATAGCACTCGCATCCGCGAGTATGAACTTTGACAAGTGGGCTGCTTCAAACCACAAGGCGTATGCCAACAAGGCCGAGTACCTTTACAGACTGGCCGTTTATCTCGACAACAAGCGCTTTGTTGAGAACACCGCCAACACTGAATTAAATGTTTTTGCTGATCAGACTCACGAAGAATTTATTAAGACTCACTTAGGGATGTCATACAAAGTTCCTGAAGTTATTAATGAGAAACGCTCAGTTAAATCTGCTCCCGAATCCGTTGATTGGAGATCCATTATGAATCCAGCTAAAGATCAAGCCCAGTGTGGCAGTTGCTGGACGTTCTGTACGACTGCTGTGATGGAGGGAAGAGTTAATAAGGATCTTGGAAAGCTTTATTCATACTCCGAACAACAATTGATAGACTGTGATACTACAGACAATGGCTGCTCTGGGGGACATCCAGACAACTCGTTCACTTTTATTAAGAATAACAAAGGTATCACTTTGGAAGCTTCATACCCATATAAGGCCGCTGATGGGACTTGCAACACTGCTGTCAAAAACGTCGCCACAGTCGCTGGACATAAAAGAGTCACTGACGGTAATGAAGCTGGCCTTCAAGAAATCACCGCGACTTACGGCCCTATTGCTGTGGGTATGGACGCCTCTCGTGCATCATTCCAATTGTACAAGAAGGGGACTATTTATAACGACGCAAACTGCAAAAGAATTGTTATGGACCACTGCGTCACTCTTGTTGGATATGGAAAGAACACCGACGGAGAATACTGGATCATTAGAAACTCATGGGGAACTTCATGGGGTGACGAAGGATACTTCTTGTTGGCTAGAAACCAGAACAACAGATGTGGCATTGGAAGAGACTCAACTTATCCAACTTCAGTCTCTTTGATTTAAAAATTTTATTAAATCAACTTTTTGCTTTATCACTTCGGTTCAGTTTTAGATGGTATAAAATTATTATTTAACTTTTTATTCACTTAAAATGTTTTTTTTGCATTTGACATGTTTTGAAAACAATTCAGTCAAAAGCGTCTATTTGTCGTAAATGATTAAATTTTGTAGATAATTCTATTTAATATTCAAATTTATTTGTTATTAAATTTTAGTTTTAATTTAACCAAAATTACAGATTCAAAAACAAAATATTTAATTGTCATAAACCCAATAATTGGCCAGTTGTGCGACAATTAAGCAATTTCTGCAATTATATTTATGAAGAATAGATGCCTTTGCCAGTATATTTTTGATGTTTTATATTTTTGTGTAATAATATGAATATTACAAACTTTTTGCAAAAACATAATATTGAATACACTCTGGATATCCAGATTTTTAAATTGGTTAAATACAGCACCGAAATTTGAATGTATTTTTATTTAAAACACACTGAAAGTGTTATTGTAATCAACAAACAATTTTCACGACTTGATCTAAAGACAGACATGATCGACCAAAAAAATTATAATGTTAAATTGATTTTTTTCGAACAAATAAAAAAATTGGACGATCTGACCGACCTTCCAATTTTATTCAAGAAATGACATTAACTGAATTAAAAACGTTTTCAGCTTGACTTTAAAAATGAAATTGTTACGCAATTTAAATATAAAATTGTCAAAGTACTAGAAGTTCAAAATTTTGAAATAAGACTTTAAAATTAAAATTTTAAAAAATTACATTAAAAGTATTGAATTGATGGAGATGTTATTATATTCAGTTGACCAGACTAATTTATTAAAAAAAATATATATATAAATCAAAAAAGTTTATGTAATTTATATTAACATTTTTAAATCAATGGATGTGCAGATAATTATATTCAATTTAAATAAAAATTGAGTGAAGAAAAGTGCTTTAAAATGGTGTAAAAACATTGTTTGTATAACAATAGCCAATAGATCAACGATTTTTGATTATAAAATAATATCAATTAAAATTGATATATGGGAAAAAACTATAATTACAAACCACTATTATTATATTGTTATATTTTGTGTTCATGTTTTCACTTAACCCCTTTATTTTTCAAAAATCTTAAAAATCGTCATTAAATTAGTTAAAATCACAATAAATATTTTATATTTAAAAACTAAGTTTATAGACAATAATTTTAAGCCTACTCTTATAATATAAAAAATAGATTACCATTGTCGGTTGTTTCGGTTTTACATGAGATATGTTATAAACTTTAGGGGTTTATGACATTAGGTTGAATACTTAGCATTACATTTAAAATGTATTTATTTAATTTACATATTCAAAAAATATAACTGTTTCTTTTAATATCTACAAGAAATGTTTTTCGCATTATATGTATTATTTAAATAAAAAATAGCAGAATTAATGAAACCACTGAAAAAACCAGAGACTAGACTGATTATAGCTATTGCATATTTAGCGGTTTTTATACAAGAAAACGGGCAAAGATATGAATAAATTTATATTTTTTTATTATTTGGTCTTAAAAACGGGTATTTTTCGGGATGAAAAAATTGAATGTGTTGTATAAGGTATGAATAAACGATCGCCTGATGTGATCTAGAATCGTAAGTTTATTATTATAAATTATTGTTTTATTATAAAATATTATTCTTTTGTTTAACCTTGTTTAACTTCAACACCACCATTCAATTAACCAATCATTCAAGTTTTTTAAAGAACCAATAAATTATTTTTTATTCACTCGGTTAATTCATTAAGTCATATTTCGTTAAGCATTAAAAACAACTTACGAAAATATAATAAAATAAAGAATAAACAAACAATTAAAACATTGGGCATTCAGTAAATGATTGATAATTATTAAATGTATTAAACAACGGAAGATAAATCATTATAAAGAACAAACTTTACCTTGGCTCGGCTGGGCATTTACAAATGAGACAACTTAAATGATTAATTAAAAGTTTCAAAGTTTATAGTTTATTCTATTTTATTTAAAAAACATTGTGTTTATTAATAGTTATTCCCTGGTAAAAAAATAAACCAATATATTATTTAAAACCTTGATTATTTATTTATTTTTTGACAATGAAACTTTAAACCATAAATAAAACAGCTTAATTTGGTCTGGTCTCTGGTTTTTCCTCGATCTGTAATACAAAAAATACAATAAAACAATAAAAATGTTTGATGATTATCATTTAATTATTATGTGTTAATTAAGTCTCATTCATCTAAATTTATTGTTTTGAAAAATAATGATAGTTAAATAAACATCATTTTTTATTTTTTTTCAAAACGTTATAAATATGTTCATTATTTAAACATATAAAAAAATAAAAATTCATAAATTATGGGTTTAAATTGTTTTTTTTAATTACAAAAAAAACTATTTAATTTTTTATTAGTGTTTTTATAATACAAAAAATAGAACAACAAAACAAATTGATTTACAATCAATAAAATAAAATTGTTGTGTGTTATTATGTTATTATTTTGTTTTATCTGATATTAATTATTTTTCTTTTAAAATAATATTGTTATTTAATAGACAACAATTATTTATATTGAAGAATAAAAAATAAACATATCAAGTCAATAGATTGTTTTGAATTTTTTTATTATTTTAAATAATCAATAAAAGGTTTCTAATGACCATTGTTTTTTAACACTTTTATTTTAGTATTATATATAAAAAATATAATAAAAAATATAGTTTATAATTTTTAAATTTGTAAAAGACAAGTTATTTCACAATAAAACAATTATTACTTAATACTTTTATTTTTTATTTGTTAACAATTAAATACAAACATTGACCATATTACGTGTTATTAACATCAACATGAATATTAATTATTTATTCCCTAATTTTTCGTTTACAATTTAAAAATCCCGATAAAGTCCATCAATTTCCCCCAAAATAACATCAAAACAAAAAAGTGACCTTTATGTTCTTAACAAAAATCGATTTTATTTTTTCCATTAATTCAAATAAAGTTCACATCACAAAAAACTTATAAATTAAATGAACGAGTACACTCCACTTTTCCAAGATAAACTTGAAGTCAAATATGTTCCAGATTCAAAAAATGAGTCTCTTCATACACTAACTGTTGTTTGGTCTCCTTCGGACATTCCCCTCTCTAAAATATGTATATCATTATACGTCCATCGACGTAAAGACGATTACAATTATTATCAAAGCTTTGTTGTTTCCCCAACACAAACAACTTATGAATTCAAATATTTGATTAGTGGACTTTACGACATCAGAGTGTGTGAATACAAATAC